AAATAGCAGAACTCCTGTTTAAAAATGGAACACAGAAGTAAGCAAATGGGCAGTCATCTGTTTCAAAGATGCTGAACTGTGAACATCTGCATTTCCATCGACACTGCAAACTGCAACAGGGTTCCTGCTGCAGCTTCTTTCCTATCTACAGCAAAGAGAAAATGCTTGTTGGGAAAATACATTTTTGTTATTTGTGTACTGTTCCTTGCAGACAGTGACCTATAAGATTGATGGTAGGAGCAACGTCATGAAGGGATGTCATTTTTCTTGCTTGAAATCATTCAGCAACTTTTTAATTTTTTTTTTCATGATCATTTTATAAAAGCTTTTTTTTTTATTTATTTTTTAATAACAAACTGCAGATGTCACTGGGCCTTATTTTAGAAACTGACCCTTTCAGTAGTGGCCCTGCAGGCTTGGGAAATGGCATGAATCAACATGACTGAACCTTTCATACTTTGTGATAGAGAGCTCTATGGGTTCTGCTTCTACCAGGGGACCTCTCTCAGCAGCCAGCGTTTCATAGGATAAGGCACCCTGTGACAATATTCACTTCTTCCCAGGAACAACTTCTCTCCCGAGCAGCTGAAGCACCAGGTAGCTCTTTAATTTCAACAGTAATAAGGCTCAGATATCAGAAATCACACTCCTGATTCTGAGAATGAAACATTTATCACTTATCCATTGGGTGCTAACCACTCGATTCCAAAAACACCTTGCCCTTCCTTTTGTTCCTCTCATTCTTAAATGAAGGAGTGGATTTAATTTGGTGCACCAACCTCAATTTTTACATGATTCACTTAGTTTTTCCTGAATGTCCCCAAAAAGACTGGAAGAAAACAATCTGGGTCTGTCAACATTGCCTTTTTGAAAAAATTCAGTGAGTAATCCTGTCTGATTTTTCTAACTGCACTTGCAAAGCACAGTACTCAGCACATTTAATTTGGATGCCTTTCTACGTTACCTACTCCAAGTGAAATCATTCAAACTGCTGCAGAAGAATTTTGTCAGAAGGACAAATTACTCAGTCTTACTCAGTGTCTGTGGTGGACCTAATCAAAATAATAGGAAAAGAAAGAAAAAAAAAAAAAGAAAAAGAAAAAAACTTGCTACAAGCAACTAGGCTAGCAATATATCTGTAGATCCCTAATACATTTTCCTTCATGGCAAAGCTGGTTTGAGAAGTTTCCAGCTCCATACCTTGCTCCCAATTGCTTTTTCTACACACTTATGCACACATTTCCTCAGCTGTACCAGTGTGACTCCTTGTGAGGTTGTACTGCAAATTGCATTCCCAAATAAAGAAAAATAATAATGTTGTATAATACCTCCTTTTTTTTTTCTCTCTCTCTCTCTTTTAATGTATGGCTTTAATTACTGGTATTGCCAGATATAAAGGGGCAACTAAGTGTAGAGTGGATGTGAGAACACATGGCCCTAACACAGGTGGCAGCAAGGACAAAAACTTCTTAAGCTGGTTTTACTACCTAAGAAAATACATGACATGTCTACCCTGGTGGGATGCAGGGAAGCCCATGTTAACCATGCTTGTTTTCCCAATGCAATCATACATTTGTGCCAAGAAACCACCAAGCAAACACTACGCAGGCTGGACTCTTTATCCCATGTGAAGGGGAATTAATAGAGAGCTAATTCTTAAATGTCTGCATTTTTAACCTGGTGTGAGTCACCTTTCTCTTCTTTTCTGCTTAATCCAGCCTTCTCTAAATGCTTTAATTCAGAAATTGCTATGCTAATCATGTTACTAAATTGCTAGAGAGAGAGAGGTTAGTCAAATATTTATGTTCTGAGCCACGTAACAGGTTAAAAACAGAAGCTACTTATATTTGCATGTACATATGGTACTTTAAAGCACATCAGCAAAGTGCAAAGCTGAGGGCTCCACTGCAAGCTGCCCTCCCCTGCCAGGATTTGTATTTTAACCAGATGCCTGCATGTCAGCCTGTTTGGAATTCCTTGGAGGCTCAGTTGACCACCAATTTTCTGGATTTGTGTTTGGCTTGGGATAGTTATCCTATCCTTGTAATTATAAATGTATTTATATATTTTAAGTGTAGTTATTTTTATACTTCCATTTTTTTAATGTGTGGCTGCTCTTTTTAACTTCATGACTACTGCAGGTAGTTTTTTTTCCTGATAATCATCAATTGTGATTATTTTCATAAAGTAGAATTTGTTCATTCTGCAAAACTAACCTTCAAACTTAAAATACAAAGTTTTCAGGGCTTCTCTGTAGAACTCTTCAAAATGCTGCTTGCCAAAGCTGAAATATTTTGGCTGTGTGCATAAGAATACCCTACTCACTGCTTCTAAAAAGCAGACTTGTTTCTTCCCTGCAGTTTGTTATAAACATTGTGAAATCAGCACCATCCTAGGTCCCTGTCAGGACCAATGCATTAGATGTATTTAAGGAAACTGGGCTAATTAGAGGCACCAGGGATACCTGCTTTCACCTCTTTCCCAGTGTATGCCTTGGTATACATCTTGGCTACTCCTGAAATTTCCAGTTCACCTACTTCTTTGCTTCAGTTACAAGCTTTGAAATAGAGGAAGACTGCTCTGTCCAAGTGCATTTATATTAGTTCTTAATGCACCCATCTCTTTGCTACCTAACTGCATTCTCATGAAAGTGTTGCTGTGGCAAGTTTTTGCTGATGTACTGTATTTTGGCATATACACTAGACAAAGTACCTGTTTTTTTGTCTTCTTTCCCAAGCCAGTGAAACTCATTTTGGTACGCGGGAAAAGTGGTTAGTTAGGTGCCTGCTGGCCTTCATCCAATTCCTGTTTTACCAACTTTAAAAACAGCTTGGTGCTTCCTCCTCATTCGTGCTGTGATTCTGCATCTGTCCTGTTTTCTAGTTCATCTATTTGTATCATCTGCAAAAAATACAGAAGCTTTTGATTGCATTCTAAGCAGAGTTCCTGTTAAAAATACAGCAAAGCAGAAAAGTCAAAAAAGTGATTAAAAAAAAAAACAAGAGAAATCACAAAAAGCTAAAAAATGGCACTTATTCCTGCTTTATCAATTTGTCAGCTTTTTTTTGGAAATGTTATGAGACAAATTCCTGACAATGCACACAAAAAGAGCTTCATGGAGAAAAAGAAACATCGAAGGGATCTGGAAGTCTTGGAAACACTGCTATGTTCTCTTGCTGCATGGTTTTGCTCTCAGACAAACATACTAGCATTTTGCATTTATATAATGCTTTTTGCGAGGAGGATTTTGGAAGACTTTATGAGAATGATGACAAACCTAAAAACTAAGGCTGCCAGGCTTAAGTAAAAAATCTAGCAGAAGCAGGAATAAACCTATAGTCTATTTTGCTTGACCTACCTGTCCTTTCCCACCTGAATAATCACATTTTTCAAATCTGTAATTTTATTTTACAAATGACCTTATGAAATCAGCCTGCTCCGGCTGGGAATTTGAAAAATGGGATGACAATCAGAGCCAGTTCAGAGGAGCGAGCCGCCTGGCCTGTGGCTCCACCAGAGTTTCCACAGCCCAAATCCATTGCTCTGGTTACTGGCCAAGTCACCATCTGCGCTCAAATTGCTCCACGTGAGATATATAAAAAGCAGGCAAAGACTCCAAAGAATCTCAAAGTCCCGATTTCCAGATGCAGCTCCGTTTCTCCTTGTTTACTGCTTCCAGTTATCCCTGCCTGTTGTAATATGAACTCGGCTGCTCTTTCCACTTCCTCGTGGCTGCAGTTTCTTTAGTTCTTGCATTTTTTTTCTCCTTTTGCAGACAATCAGCAACTTTGTAGATCCACGACTGCATCTCAGCTTTGCTTTGCCTTATTTTTAGCCCAAATGAGCTACTTAGGAACAACTTTTTAAATTCCATTAAGAAAACTCACTCAACAGGGTTTCTCTTGAGTTGGCACCTGGACTCCTGTGTCCCACTGGCTGATTTTCTAGAGGAAGGGTAGATAAAAGGAATTCCTTGGTATGGTTTTTCTAAGCTCATAGAACATAGGGGATTTCATAAATTCCTCACTGCCATGCCAGGCTGGGGCTGCTGCCTCCTGGCACCATCACACCGCTCAAGGTAAAATCAAGTTGCACCACTCCCAAAGGGGGAAAAATGAGTATATAAATAAACAAGTGAAAGGGAAGAGTTTTTTTTTTTTTTTTTTTTTTATAAAGGGGAAAGGGGGCCACCCTGGGATAACCAGACCAACTGGAGTACCTCGCTGCCACTGACACCTTTGCGTGGCCCTAGGTAAAACACAGTCGCGTCGCTCACCGAGTGCGCGGGGGAAATAAACAATAAATAGATAAATAACAAGATGATTCTTTTAGTTTTAAGAGGAGATGGGCGCGGCGCCCGGTGACCGTTGGGGCGGGGCCCTGGCGCGGGGCGGGACCAGCGCGGCCGTTGGGGTTTAAGCAGCGGCGGCGGCGGCCCAGGGGGAGGGTAGTCGGCTCGGTGCAGTCTCAGGTGAGTTGTCTTTGCCGCTGAGGTGGGTAAAAATCCCGAGTAAAGGAGGCAATTTGTCTCGTAGGGGCGAGGGAAGCATGAGGGGGCTGCTGGATCTCTTCTCCCGTGCGAGGCGCGCGCGAGTTTTCCTCGTGTGTGTTTGTTTTTTATTTTTTCCTTCTCCCCCCCCACCTTGTGTAAAACACCACCCAGGGCTCATTCTGTGCCTCAGTCCTCTCTACCTTTCTTCTGTGGGCATAAGCAGCACTGCTGGCTGTGGTAGGGACGGTTTTGCCGAGTTTCGTGAGCCCTGAGGCGCTCTGTGATGTGGCTCCCTGTGCAGACCCGCTTCCCCTCTCTGCTGCGCTCTGCAGTGCCCTCAGAAGCCTGTAAGGGGGCGAGAAACTACCCATAATATTCTAGTATAAGCTTTAATTTAGTACCCGTGGAAAATGGTGGTTAACTCTCTACTTACTGTGAATTTATTTTATTTTTTTTTTCCGCAGTTACTTCCAGGTAGCTCTTGAAAAAAGATGAATGCTTTTCCATCATGTCTTTCCAGGCAGTAGCTATAGCCAGCTATGCCTGCACAGAAGTCTTTGAGCATGCCAGCTCCAAAAAGGTAAAGCAGGGCAATAATCTAAAAAATGTTCCTCCAAGTCTTTTTGATAACTAGGAATGTTTTTTCAAAAAAAAAAAAAAAAAGCTTTTAATTTGCAGTGTCTGTGATAAATGCTGTATTATAAGAGATAGCAGATTCATTATGGAGTTGAACTTTAGAAATGCAATCCCAAAACTGAAGGAAAAAAGCTCTAATTTATGCTGTGGAACTATTTGTTGGCTTTTTTATTAATTAGGCTGTACATTGTAGCATATTTAATGTGTTTTTCTTAATTTCTGATAAATGCTTTTTAATTACACTCTTAGTTTGGAAAAAAAATCATTTAATACTGAGTTGTCACTCTGGTGTTCTTTGAATTGTAGTATTTTTTTTAAAGTTAATAGAGATCTTTTATCGAAGTTCTCAGACTGCTAGTTGCTTATGACATGATCTAAGAGATGGAGGGGCTAAAAACCCTGCTATTTTAGAATATATTTGTGCTTACTAATAGAGTGTCTGTATTCACTGTGGAGCAATTATGGTACTGAGAGTGGAGTTAGGTAACTGCTGATTTTTAGAGTAGTGACTGCCTAAAGTAAATTCTTATAAAATTTACTGTTAAATAATTGATTTCCTATAAGAACCATTTCATGGGATGATCTTAACACTATGTAGTTTACATGTAGCAAAGTCTGCTGGAACAAAGCTTTTTTTTTTTTTTTTTTTTTTTGCAGTAAGAGTGTGTGTGCGCAGGGAAAGTGGTACCACATCAGTGGTACTGTTCTAAACTTGGATGTAATTAAACGCCAAGTTCTAGAAATACCTACTCTACTTTTTTTTCTGAAACGTTTTTCTTGAGTTAAGAGAAATTCTTTGTGGGATGTTGCTTCGGAAACTTCTGCTTTCCATGAGCCTGAAGGTAATTGGGGCAGGGTTGGATCTCCGAGTGACTTATTTTCTGCCATGTGCTCTGTGGCTCTGTGGAAAGGGAGTGAAAGACAAAAGCATAATCCCTGTATGGGATTTGAGGGCTTTAGGAGACCTGCTATGTGCTAGTCTGGGTGTATCTAACTTCCTTATTGGAATTACCCCTTCAGTATCTAAGCTAAACTGCTTGCCCTGATTCAGCTTGCAGTGCTTTGACAAGTAATAAACCCAGCTTTGGGGCCATAAATACTGAATTAGAAGTGTCATGACCACACAAAGCAAAGTGCTGATCTGCTGTAAACCCCCTTGGGCAGCCCAAATGTGTCCTAAACTTTTGTTAGCTTATACTGGAATGCTGTCTGCCTGATGGACTCTCATCTGTTTGTGTCACATCTCCTTTAATGCTGAGTTAAGCTTACTGCTGACACAAAACCCATACAGTTTGATACACCAAACTAGACTCTGGATCCCAAGCACGACTGTTGGGGAATTTGAGCAGCACATGGATGGTTGCTGAGTCAGTGCTTTATTTATGTTTACTCCAGAGTCTGTGTGTCTAACCAGGCCACTACTTCTGTGTACAGATTGCAAGTCCTTAAATGCTATTCCAATTCATTGTGGATATTTTGGCAAATGCATAAACTTCTGAGTTTAGCACTTCACCATGCAAAAGACTGAACAATTTAATTTACATCTGCTGGTCCTTGTGGTAGGAAAGTGGAGCATATACTAAGTAGGCATTTGTAATCTCCGTTCTAAGAAAATATGCTTCTAAAATAGTTACTGAGGCAACCATTCCATTTTAATTGGTGATGGGAGAAAGCCTGTCTTAATAGGTTGTGATTAATTTTGTAACTAGATGTTCAGAACTAGAACTAATAGTCAGGGAACCTGATGTGCTACTTTAGATCACCTGCCTCTGGGTGAAATGCAGTGTGCAGGATTAAGATGCTAAAGCTCTTTGTGTAATAATGCTCTTAGAAAACCTTTCCAGACAGGAGTTTAGGAAATCCTGTCACTGAGAGGAGTTGGTAACTGTCATCTGACTGCTGACATCTCTTCTGCTGTGCCCTGTGATGGGATATATGAGACTGGAGGTATCATCATCATATTTCTATATAACCAAATTGTCTGTCTGCATATTCTTGTTCTAGATAAACTGTGAAAGCTGTAAGGAAAATCTTACAGAAAAGCTGTATTCATCAAATCCTTCACTGGATACTCCAGCGCGGATTAGCTGTCTTGCTACAACACCTCAAATCTCAGTTTTGTCAGGTATGGAATTTTATTCTAAAATGTCTGTAGGGACCTTTAATGCTGCTAGTAGCACTAGTAAAAGCTGTTGATAAAAATCTTTTAAGTATCTCTGACCGGAGAGGAAACTTTCTTTATCAACTTTTAGGATGTGATGGCAAAGTATATTGTAGAGTTTGAAAGTACAGTTCTCTGCCTTTTTAAGGGTAGTTTGGCTCTTTTAAGCCTGTGTTTTGAACACTTGAGTAAAGTACTTAAACTGTTCCAATGATTGTTAGGAGATTATTCAACTTACTTGATCCAAGAACTCCATTCTCAGATTTGGAACTACTAGAATTAGTCATGTGAATATCAGTTGTAAAACTGAACTGAAGGATGAGAGGAAGCAGAAAAGCTCTCAGATTTTTTTTTTCCTTCCCTGAAGAGATAAGTGTCCTTTTTGGGTGGGGGTGGTGGGAGGAAAGAGGGAGTTGAAAATCATCTGGCCCTAACTTTCTTACTCCTGCTTTTGCACTATAGTGGCTGGCCCTGCTGACAGGTTGCATATAGTGTAGAGTGCTTTTGACAAACACCAGCCAAGCAGAAGTGCAGTTTTGGGACTACTTTTGCATCTCTGTTAGTTTCATCCCAATCAGTGCCCAGGACCAGTCACCTGCCACTATCACAGATGGACTGTTTAGCTCGTTTTGACGTGGCTTTACTGTGGAGGTTGTTGCTAGCAACTGTTACACCATAGCTCCTATATGTTCTTAATGGTTGCTTTTTTTTTTCTCCTGCTTTTTCTTGATGCGAAGTGCTCTTTGTAGAGCCTCACTTCTCAGAGGTCTTAGTTCGGATCCCTTAATAAACTCTTATCTATGAGGTAGTTTGAGTGCACGCCTGCAAGTGAGTGGCTTGTGAGGAGGTTTGTTTTGTTAAGTCCTTTGTAAGTCCAAGGAAAGCAACCTCTGAGCAAAGTCTATCTGCAAGACCTGCTTTTTCAAGCAGTGGTATTTACCATTCTTTGTGGTTCTAGGTAATTGATCATTTGCCCTGGAAATGAATCTTCTTGTTTGTATCTATTCTTAGAATTTTTACGATCATTTTGTTGAAAAGAGACAGTTGACTTCTTTATCATGGTGTAGGTGATAGTTATTTATTGGTGGCAGGGGGGGAAAACAACATTTAGTATAACTTTGTTGCTTGGATGGTGGCAGCTCCTATGAGACTTTTTGATGGTACAGGCCTCTGAGCTATTTTTGAATAGCTACCTGTGTGCTTTTACATAAAACCTGATATGTTTGTCATTACAAGCAGTTTTTCCTTTTTTATTGAACTCAAATTTTTCAGTAAGTTACTTAGCACTGTGGCAAGTAGTACTCCTTTACTTAAAAGGCTTTTAATGAATTTGCTCTGACTTTTCTTTGTGGATTAGGCAAATGTTGCCACCCCTCTGACTAATGAACCAAAGGCTACTTTGGTCTCTCCTGTATGAGAAGGAAGTGTCTGACTGAGACCTGTAAGCATGTGACCTCTTTTGTTTTCCTGTATGTGCTTTTATTTTTCTTCCTGCTCTTCTAATTTTCCATGTCTTGCTATAACTTATTCTACCTATAGTTTAGCATTAGAACTGGAAATGAGTATGGGTTTTCCTAAAGCTTGTTCAGACTTTGAACCTCTAACTTTAAAAGGCTTCTTTTGTTAATTTTAGCTGCAGAATTTTGTAATTCACAAATTCAATAAGGCACTGACAGTGCCTTTGGCATACAGATCTTATAGCTTTTTTTTTGTGCACTGATCTGTTGTGAAGTATGTACGATTATCTTCAGAAATCACTGTTGTGGGCTGTAGATATTGAAGAGCTATAGTAGCTCCAGGGGGTAAATGAAATACCAATGTAATCCCAACAAACCTTTTTCTGAAGAAATTCTTAACTTAATGTTTACTGTTAAGTCTGGGCTTTTATCAGTAAAAGCCTGTGACTTGCCAGAAGGGATATGGAGTTGGTAAATAGGAATGAGAAATGGTGGCTTATGTGTTTTTGGTGTGTGTGTGTGTGTCCATGATCTTATCTCTTATTGGCAATAGAACCAAAACATGAAAATGGTAAATAGCAGGGCTCTAATAGCTATTTACATTGTATCTCATCCAGTTTTGTAGAACAATGATGTTTTTGAGCATGCTAACAATCAGCCGCTGTTGAGATCTTAACTAATTGTATGTGTGTGGCTAGAAGCAGCCTACTTTACTGTTGATTTATTACCTGTGATTGATCAACAGCAGAATTGCTTCCTGATCATGGAAAGTAAGATCTATTTGGAAGAAGTAGGTCAGAGTGCTGCTTATATTTAGCAGTTCCTCCTTCCATCCAAGTCAGAAGTGAAAATAGCATTTTATTCATGTTGTAAATAATCTTTTTTCTAAATGGATTGATTTCTCCTTTTGAACAGATGAGTACTCAAGGCCAGCAGTGATTGGGCATGCAGGAAGCTTTGGATCATACCTAGATAGTGCTGAAGCCATCAAAGACCTTCTTTTGTCTGTTTTAAATGCATCTGGTTTGAAGCACTCGTTGCTGTCAGAGCAGACCACAATGCAGAGAGCTCAACACCCAGACAGTGACCTGGAGCGCTGGGAGGAGAGCAGTGATGGGGATAACAATGATGACAGTGATAGTGATTCCACACCTTGCAGTACTGCTTACACACAAACGGATATCAGGTTTACAAGGCACCGAGCATGCTGGGACAACGCACACTGTGACTCCTTTGAACCTCTTGTGGATTCTTCATTTTGCCCACATTATTCTGGCAAGGATCCCACTACTTCTTCCTTGAACGGTTTTGCTCTTTCGGAGATATCCCCTCTGAAGAGGGACTGTTTTACCCAAGTGACGTTGACAGGAAGCACTGTCATGTCAGCTGTTGTGTGTGCTGCAAAGGAACTAGAAAACTCTTTTGGTCACACTGAACGAGACTTGGCTTTTACAAGTTTTCTCCTGGATTCAACAGTTAGTAAGTCAGTAGATTCATTAAAGTATCATGGTGCTTTAGAGACTGCAACTGGCAACAGCGATAACTGTAATTCTCCATGTGGGTTTTCCCAGCCAGAGCCTTTGGATCAACCAGGTAACTCTACATTTTCAGACCTATCTTTTTGTTCTAAAACTTGTGCCCTAGGAATGGACTGAAATTGACTCCATTTATGGGAATGGCAAGTGATTGTAGAATTGTTCTCAATTGCTGCACTTGAGAGAAAAATCAAAAAATGAGGGCAAAGGTGTTAGTGAAAGGAGAGTTTCTAGCTTGAAGTTTTATTTTGGCCTCTAATCACAGGAATGCTTTAGTGTAGAGACTCTGTGACCAAATATAAAAATTGATGAGCTGACATCAGTGCAGATCATCCAGCAGATGAGCCTATCACTGACTTATCTTTTCTTCACAACTACTCTTATGCTGAAAACAGGTTACCAAGATCTTGGAGCTTGGTATTAGTTCTCTGCTGTGTACTGATTCCTCAGACATCTCCTTGTATTTGACATGAGCTAGAAGTAGGACACCCCTTGGTTCAAGTTTTGAGTTGACATCCACTCTTGTACAAGCTGGTTTGGCCTCAACAACTGACCTCCTTTCCCTTCTGTTTTCCTCCCCTGGCTTTGGGGTGGCACCTGTGTGTTCACTAGATGTGCCAGCCTTTCTGGCCTTTGGCCCAGGGCTGCTGCTAAACTGGAGCAGCAGAAGGCACCTTTTGTGTTTAGTACCTAACACTGTTGTTGGTGTCCTTTGCCTCAGTGAGGTGAAGCTGGTTAATAGCACCTGGGGGCAAGTAGTGAGGCTGTTGAGCTCTGTTTCCAAGGTCTGGTACTACCTTGCTCTTCACTCAAAGCTCATCTAGTGTTTCAGTCTGTTTCAGACTCCCAGATAGGAACATGCCATTGTAGGATCAGAGGCCTGTAGCAGGGGCTTTCTAATACCTTTATTAGCTTTTAAATTAAGTTTTAGTATTTTTTCTCTCAATCTTTAATTTTGACAATTAATGTTAGCTTTATAAAGTAACTTAGCTTTATTAGTTTATAATAACTCTTTAGTAGAACAGGGATTAAAAAACACCTGCCTTTTTGGGTAGGCTCTGGTCAACAGGCATGGCAAAGGCTGTTTCTTTTTTTTTTGCTCCTGCCAAGTGTTATTTTGGCTGATTCAAAGGCATGATAGACTTGAGAAATGCCCCACAGAGATGTGGGGAGAATGTGATTGGAGCTGTGTTCAGCCAGCCATGCAGACTGAGGTATCTTAGCCTGAAAAACCCAGCCAAGTCTCTAAATGTCAGCAAGGACCATGAGGCACATGTACAAGAACAGAGAAGTTGTGACACAACTTTCTGACGTCAGTGGGAAGTGTCCCAAGTTTCTGTGGGATCAATGTTTTTCTGGTAGGTGATCACAGCAGTAAGACAAATGGCAGCCTGGTAACTGAAAGTCATGTCCTTGTCTTTACTATTTTCAAAGTAATCCTTACAGGAGCTGGGGTCCTGTTGGACATTGTGCTCTGTGTTGAACTTTAATTCCTTTTCTCTATAATTTGAACTCTGCATTCAGCTCTTCACCATTTCTTTCAGTCATTTAAGTCTCTAGTGCAAGAGAAGGCAGAAGCAAATAGCAAGCCAAAAAATTACAAAAAATTACAAAAAAAAAAAAACCAAAAAAAAACATAATTTGAGGGTAGTAAATATGCTGGTTTATCTCCTGACTGATATTCTCTCCACCTCTATTTCAAAGGAGGCGGATCTTTTGTTTCTCAGTCTTTACAAGTCAATGAGGTTATGTAGAGGTGTGGGAGGAGATGCGCATGAAGACATTCATGATTAAAATCCCACAAAAACTTCTGATTCTGTGAGGTTCTTTTTAGAAATTCCCCTTTTAACACTTAAAAGGGCTGGGAGCACCTTTCTGAAATGTATCAGTTCTTCTTAACACAGTCCATGGCAAAATTTGGTAGTTTGGGGGGGATTTTGAGGCTGGTGTATTACCAGCACTTACAGGACTGCTGTCCTTGTAAGTCTCTTCAGTATCTTCCACTTTTCTGTAAATTCCCTTCCCCCCCGCCCAAAAAAAAAATAGTAATTGTTCAGTTGAGTGTCTTGGTAAAACTTGATTCTGGGAAAAGCTGTCTGTGGGTAAAAATACTGTTTTAAAGTGCTCATACAGAACTGTTTCTTGGTATGGATCTGTATCCAGTCTTTTTCTCTTCTCCTGGTTGTCCTGACTAGATTACTTCAGTTTAGAAACAGCACAGACATTAAAAGATATTACTCGCTTTTCCTTATCTTTCTAATTCCCCCTTCCCAAGTCTCCCTTCCTCTAGACTTTTTTTTTGGCTCTCTGGCCTTTCTCCTGTTCTTATCTAAACTGGCTTCTCCTTTCATTCTTTTAAAGAAAAAAAAAATCTAACTCTGCATCTCATCTTCACATTATCCAGTGTTCCATATGGCACTTGGATATCTCACAGTACAAAACTTTGCTTTTATGCTAAAACAAAGCTAAATTTTGTTGAAAAGTGCCAAAACAGTTTTTTGTTCCCTTTACACTCATTTTAGTAAAAGATGGAAGTGGGATGCAAAGGGTAGGCTGACATTTAATAATAGCCTTACCATTTTGCTCTGACTGATCCTTTAAAGATAAAGGAATCATTTGACATATTTCCTTCTGTCTGCCTTCTTATATTTAGAGCCCCAGTTCTACCTTTTATCTTAACTGATAAGAACAGAAGCATTTATCACTCTTATTGCAAGCTCAGATGGAGCTGTTAGTCTTTAGCAGCATCTGCATCTCCCCAAATGTTGTTTATATAGTGAGTCATCAAATAGATATGAAAATAACCTAATTGGTTAGTGACTCTGCTAATTAGAAGTTTTTTGAAAAGTCAGCTCATCATTGTGGTATGTGTCTTCCTGGTTTTTCTTGAAGACAACAGTTCAGCTTCTGAGTTTTTTTAAACAGCAAGGACAGTAAAAGACTTGTATGGTGATAGCAGTTAGGCAGGTTTTATATTGTAGACATGAACACAGACCCCTTCCCATTCCAACAACCTTCTAGATGAAGTTTAGTAGAAACAGAACAGACTTGGCAGAAGTAGTGAAGTAAACATGAGTTAACACATAATGGAACCTTTTGATATTGCTTTGGCATTGTACAGTTATAGAAAATAACTTTCATCAGTCTCCTAGGAACTTTATTGCAGCAGTGAGTGACTGGAATACAAAACATAGAGTTGGATATCATGCCTTCAGTTTTCTGCAAGAGAAGAGTGTGACTGTTCACTTAAGTATTGGAAACTACCAGTGATACGGGTTAAACCTGCAGAAAACCAGATGTGCTCTTTGCTTTCCAGTAAGATATTGTTAAATTGGGAGAGATTAATTTTGTTCTGCCTAGTCACTGTATTGTAGCAACAAATTTCCAAAATGCAGGGGATCCTCTTGCAGGCATTAGGAGCTTGCTGAGAGCCGCACTGGCAGGTCACGCCCCATCTGATGTTGCCAGCTGCAGCATGTTGCTACCAGCCCAGGAGATAGGAGAGGGCAGGCCTGGGAAGAGCAGTGACGCTGCCCATATGTGTGTCTTTTTGCTACTCTGACAACCTGAAACAAAGGTAACATCTGCTAGAAACAAAGTCAAATGTTTCTCATCTTTCTACCTTCTCCTTTCACTACTCTGTCCAACTTCAGCTGTGGTCAGCTTGGGAGAAGTAAGTCTGCTTTACTTTCTGGGAGTGCACCCATCGTGGGAACTGCAGATGAAGAAATATTTAATAAGGCTGATGTTATACCCACAGGTTCTACTTCACCTTTGAATATAAATGCTGTTCCCTTGAATCGATCTTTGCAGGATACCTTTGTGCTTCCAGAAGATGTGGAAAAGGTGAGGATTTTTTTTAAGTCATATATGTATCTTTGTTCATTTTACCTAAATTAAAAAGTCAGGATGCATTTCTCAATGTCATTTTTTATTATATCTTCATAGGACTCTGGTTCTTTATTTGGGACAGGAGAAGATGATGGAAAAACAATCTTTAAAAATGTAGTGTTTTCCCCTGTTCTTCCCTTCTCTATATGATCAACCTTTCAACCTAATACACTTTTCTTTGTTTTTATTTTCCATCTATCATTAAATACTTTATTTAAAAATAACTGCAAACTTTAGAGTGCTTAAATATTTCCCTTTTCATTTTTTTTCTGACACAGTCCATTAGCTTGAATTATATTGCAGTTACATGCATAAGGCAAATTCTGGCCATATACATTTCCCTCTGAGGAGACTGGGCTGACAGCTGAGAGGCTGACTTTTATACCTATGATAAACTTGTGAAATTGCTGTAACAATTTAGAGTGAATGATAAGCCTAGTAGTTGTCACATTTACAGGAATTTAAGGCTTCTAATTTGAATAGTGGTCTCAAAGAACCCTTTGACCTTTAAGTATGTTGTTGACCAGATAGGCAGCCTATTTGAGCCTATAAATAAACATGTCAAGCTAGCACACAGTTATACACTACAGTGTTAAATTGGGCCTTAATACTTTTTTTTAATGATGGGGGAAGTTAATGATATAATTAAATCCTGTACTTCCATAGCAGTACTTAATACAAAAGGACTTAATTTTTTTTCTAGAGGTTTTATCTAGAGAAAATTGCTGCTCTGGTGTGGAAGCATCACATCCTGGGCACCCGCTTTATTGGAATGACAATTTCTGAGTTTGAATCAAAGCTCTTAATGTTCCTGTGGTGCCTTTTTTTTTTTTCTTTTTAAGAACTTTAGAAATAACTTTCCATCTTGTTTTATGTGCAAGACATTTCTGAAAGGAGTTGTTAAGGAGGTGATGCTTCTTTTGTACCATAAAAGCACTTTAAAAATGTCATTCTGAATCTGTAGCCTTAAGTACTACCAGATCATTTCAGATAGAGGTTTAGCCTTGCACAATGAAAATGTGCACACTTAAGGGCATCTCTGACTTCCCATCCATGTACTGGAGTGTACCTACATTCAGTGACCCAGCAGCACTGTGATCCTCTGCTGGACAGAGGAAAAGATAGTGACACTGGAACAGAGTGCTGAAAGGTTGTATTTCAGTGGCCCCAGGATGGCTTTACAAGCTTTCTAGTGCTGAAAGATGAGTAACCCAGGCAAGCCAGATGGTAAGAGACATGTGGAGGGGTATGGTAATGCCCCAATGAAGCTTTGAAACAACTAACCTTTGAGGCAGGTCCTGGGCTTCTGCTTGGCCTTATCAGAATCTTTCTATGCAGTCTTGAATTAATCATATAAGCTCTCCTGTTCCATGTTCCCTGTGCAGTGGTATCGTCCCACCAGCTTAATTCTTAACATGCAAAGGCATTTTACTTGCTTTTACTACTTTCCCTTGGAAACTCTCTAGTCCCATTAAAGCTTGCTGCTTCTGACCATGCTTGCCACACTGCACACAACTAAATTAAATCCTAATAATTATATTATATGGATTAACATGTGCTTGCTAAGAAATAATGTAACTGAAAGACTACATCTCTAAATGCATACCTGTTCTTCAGTTAGACATATGACCCTTTAGTAAGGCATGAAATCAAGTTTCCTTTTATCTAACAGATGGAGAAGATAAGCAAGCTGTATGTTTTAGTCAGGAGTGAAACAACAGGTAGTTGTCTGTGCAGTTGCCTTTTGCTTGTTGTCTATAAATTACCCTTGAGGGTATTTTTTGGTGCTTAAAGGAAAAGCCAAATAGCCTTACACTTTAATTTCTTGAGTTGAAGTAAGTTGCTGGGGGAAAATTGGGCCATTTTCTAATGAGTGTTTCAATTTTGTCTCCAGGAGAATGCGCACTTCTTTGTTGCAGATATGATTATAGCATCTCTGGAGAAGATGAAGTGTAATATTCTAAGTCAGCAGGCAGAGTCCTGGGGTCTAGAGGAAACCAGTGGATCAGATGGCAGCTATCACACTGATTTGGAGTTTTCTTCCTATCCAGGAGTCAAGAAATCAGATTCTTCTGTTGCCTCTTCAGACAGTGGTTATGAAGGCAAGTTGCGTAGTCTATAGTACAGCCTTTTCTGCCAGCCTTTTCTTTTTCTTATTGTCTAAGAAAATACTGAAACTTGAGTCTTTATTGGAAATAAACTCTTCTTTTGGTCTTCAACACTCCATCAAACCTATATTCCATAACAATCATTATTCCATAGATGAGTTATCTGTGAGTCAAATTCTTTTGAATATTCTGATTTGTTTTGTGTTTTCTTGTTATTTATTTTAATTCAATTTTTTATGTATTTGAGAATGTGAAACATGCCAAGTACAACTTTCCATATACAGCATGCTTTAAATCAGTTGTTTGTCTTTTGTTTAAATTCCACAAAAGAGGGTTGAAAGTCTCGATCTTTCTTCTGCAGTGTGCAGATCTGGCAACACAGTTGATCTGACTGAGATTGCCCAGAACAGTCGTGCATGTAGAATGCAAAGCTGGTGAGCGAAGGCTGCTGGCCCTAGAATGCTTGTATCAGCAAGGATATTTGTATGTGGAGTTCAGTGATATAGGACAAATTTCGGCAATTAAACTTATAGTCAGAATGACACAGTTCATGAAGGAAATCAGTTGGAGGAAATCAGTTGCATGCTTGTATGTAAGGAGGCCACCTTTTATGGAAAATACTTTAGATGCAGGCTGTATGGCAGGTTCCCCAGATGGGCTTCCAGTGCACATAAAAAGTTGCTTTGCAAATAAAAAGTGTAAGGTAAAAAGTGACAATATAACTATTTGGGAGATACTGGGAAAGTTTTACTGATGCCTTGTTTGCTCTGGACAGGCTGTGCTATCCTGAACGTCAGCCCCGCAGTACATCTCCCATTACATCACGAGGCTACCAGATTTCCATGCCACAATGACTCAGATGATGAATATGTAATTATTGGTAAGACCTTAACTGTAATTACACAATCTACTTTATTGTTCAGCTAAATCTGTTGCACCTCTTGAAAAATTTGCTGACCTAGTAGGCATTTTCACAAGAGACAAAAGAGGACAGAATGGAAAGAGCTACATATGTGTGACTGTTGGAACACATGTGTGAAACTGCTCAGAGTAGGACAGGATTTCCTTTCCACAAATTAATCTTTGCTGGTTTATGGGCTGGAATCATATTTAAGAAAGGCAGCTCATGTGAGGCAAGTGTGAACCTTGCACCTAATTTACAGTCTCAGCCAATTTATAGCAGCTTTGTTTGAGAGAATTTAGGGCAATGCAGTATTACAGCTTAGACAAGTTTGTTTTTGCTTGGTTTTTTTGCTTTCTCTTTGGCAACTCTACCCTGTGCTGGGACTGGAGCACAGTCTCCTCTCCTTGCTCTCTGGTGCTTTACTTCTCAGGCAATCCCAAGTTTCCCAAATACCTTCTGGATTTTACATATACAGATATAGTGTAGATGAAAAGTCCTTTAAAAATAGTTTGGGCAGCATTTAGCTTTAATCTTTTTACTGTTAACAGGTGCTTTTTTATTTTTCCTTTTGGTTTTGTAGAGATTGACTTGCTCTTTCCTTAAGCTCAGATGGGAAATTGATTCATAAAGCAGTTCTGGTAGCAACAATTGTTTTGATGGTATTAAGTGGGGAAGCATTTATCTTCAGAATGTTTTGCTTTTACAATCAATGCAATCAGTGTAAACACTATGTCTGTGTAGGTGTCTTTTGTCTGTACAGACATAATCAAACCACACAAGTCTCCATTCCATTCATCTCTCCTGCCAGTGACATATTTTGTGGCATTATCCAGCATGTTTGTGATCAGTGTTTCAACATACTTGTCAGTGTTCAAAAATACTGTGCTCTGTCAATTCTGCATATTAACACTTGGATTAGTCCAACTCAGCTGCTCTGTGACTTCCCTGCTGCTGCTAGTGGTGATGATTTAGATAAAGCTGTTAGGGAGTGCTCTTCACTTCTGCATTTGAGCAGACTCCTTATCCCTGTTTTACAACCAGAGCTGAAGTTATTCCACGCATCCAATGAGTGGTCAAATGACAAATGTATTTTGGCACTATAGTAAAACAGAAGGAAAATACAGAGCTGAATAACAATGTTTTTTTTAGATAGGCCTAATATTTCTCTCCTTTACTGCAGAACTTGAAGACCTTGAAAGTCTGACTGTCTCCCCAGATGGAAGGTAATGCTGTGTGTTTTAAAATAACCTAGTGGCATTGTCTTTCCTGCTGGACCAGCTTTCTAATGCCTCTTCCTTCCGGAGCAGGGAAAGATGCGGAAGGGGTAAATCTGGGGCTCTGAGGGGAGCAAAGGAATGCTGCTTGACAGCAAAGTCTTTGCAGTACTTGGCTTACTTAGTGTGGCACTTCCCTGCTCCTTAAGTCTTGCTGGAGGGTGGTGGCTATGACTGCAAGGACTTAGGTGCCTTAAAGGGAATTGGAATGAAAGAATGAGAGAGCTTTTCAGAGATGCAAAGGAGGCAGGCAGTGCTGCTATTTTTCACCATCTTTGTTGCTTCACTTTCAGATCATCTTGTGAACCGGGCTGTAATTCAGCTGAAGCAACAGCTCAAGAGCTGTACAGAGCTTTCAGAAAACACTGGTTGCAGACAGAGGCTGCAGTTCAACTGTCTGGTTGCTTGAGCTCATCAAAGCAGAGGGTGAGTCTAAGCAGAAAACAGCAGCCTCTTTATTTGGTTCCCCAAACAGTGATTGTTTCACTCCAGCTGCTTCCCTGTTATAAAAAGGGGGAAAGTGCAATAAAAAGTACAAAAAAGATATTAGTTTGCAGATTATTATTAGTTGCAGATTACTAGTTTGTTTTACAAATAAATTGTAAAATGTCTTCTCAGTTTAGCACTTTGCAGTACATTTAAATTGTTAACCAGTTGTGCACAAACCAGGAGGTATTTCAGTAGCTTCTTCTGGATCTCATTTGAGGCTTGGGGAGACTTTGTTTATGTGCAGGCCAAGACTGAAATCCTGAAGTATAAAAGGAGATGTTTGATAGTACTTACTAGGTGTCCAATTGATGATCTGTTCATTCGCATGAATTTCTTAAAAGGTGGTGCTGAAAGAAGATATTCCAAGAGAGCTGGAGTCCAGTTTGAATCTGGCTGAAGAAATAAAGATTGTATCTAAATTAAGAGGATCTTCTGGCTGGGCACCCCCAAGATCTCAAATTATATTTAATATTCACCCTTCAGTCAAGTAAGTTTAAAGGATCTGAGTGCTGCCGTGAGGATAGCATGGGACTTGTCTAACCTATGAAGGAGCCTGGGTGGTTTAACAGACAAAAATTGGGGTTGAGTTAATGCAGTGCAGTCTCCTGCAGGGTCCATCCCTACCTTCGCTAGGAAACAGATGGCATCTTTTCTTTTCGGGCACCTTTTTTACACTCTAAGCATGCACCTCCTGATTAACATGCCAATGTCATTTTAGGAATACACAGACACTTGATAGTGTAGTGTTCAGCTGGGCTCCTAAAAATTCAGTTTTGTGAGATTCCTTGAATATTTCTAACAGCTTTTCTACTTGGCTCACACTTTATGCATGGTAGGCTTTCAGCAAGGAGGAAGAAAGCAGGTTGTGTTCTGCCTTATGCCCTTTGAAGTGCTGGTAAATGCACAAAATAAGGAACTGGCAGGCCCAGCTGCCTTCTCAGTTTCAGAATATTAGGCAGGTGTGTGGTGGTTCTTCCTTTGGTGATTTCAGAAGAAATGGGAAAGGCCTTGTCAAGAATTTTTTGAAGCAGTAGTTGATACATTCTCCCCAGAATACTTGGACTCCCACTAAAAGACTTTCAGATCTTCTTTTAGAAGCCCCTCACTGGGCTTGTTTTTTGTATATTTATATGTTGATAGACAACCATTTTTCCAGAGCCCCTTTCTATATGTGGAGAAGGAAATTATCAACTTCAAGTAGGAAATACTCACAGTTGCCAGAATGGTGACTTGTACTTTGTGTCATGAGAGGTAATTGTTTGTCTTTGTACTCAGGAGAGATGTTGTGGTAGCTGCTCAAAACTTCACGTGTGTTGGTTGTGGAACCCCAGTAGAAAGCAGTAAGTAACACGTAATTCCCGCTCTGTGCCAAGTTGCACAAAAACCTTTTTCTTTCAAAAAGTCTTTAAAAACAAGTTTATAAAATGAGTGGTTTTGTTCTTTAGTGCTTGTTTTTTTCATTTTGGTTCAAATGAAACAAGCCTTTCAAAAATCAAGCCTTTCAAGCCTTGTCCTGTGTGCCAACAAAGGGCCACATTGATGATTTCAGTGAATTATCTGCAATCTGTGGTTACATATTAAGTCAAGCAAACCAAGAACAGCTTTAAATTATCAAAAGTAACACTAAGATTAGTTCCTTTCTCAATTTGTTAGATGCTTTTTATTAGAAGCTTTTTTTGCAGGTAAGGCAAGAGTGATTGCCTGTAAGCTCATAATGAATATAATTAGTTCTGTTTGATAAATGTGGCAATGAGGAAAGTTTGCTGTTTTAAATATGAACCATGTCATGTGTTTACCACAGTAACAAAACTCCTGCTTTAATTACTGTTCATTCTATGCAGTAGACCTGAATTATTTCAGCTGAGTAGATACACAAAAGGTACAATCCCCCAGGCGTTTACCTGTGTTACCTACTTGCAGAATATATCAGAAGACTCCGCTATTGCGATTACCTGGGGAAATACTTCTGTGACTGTTGCCATAGCTATGCCCAACCTTGCATTCCTGCCCGAATACTGATGAAATGGGACTTCAAAAAATACTACGTGTGCAACTTTGCCAAACACCTCCTAGACAGCATATGGCAGAATCCACTCTTCAATGTGTCGTGCATCAACAAAGCCCTCTACACAAAAACAAAAGAAATGGACAGGGTGAGGGTAAGGAAGGCCCCTTTTATTGGGAATTTATGGGTCTGAGGATTTGGGAAAGACTCTTCAGGGTGGGTTGTGCTGTGCCTTGTGCATGTGGACTCTTCTGCATTTTGCCTTGTTCCACCACTATTTCTGGGCACTGTTATCTTTGGAAGGCATTTCTTCCTGCCTTCCAATTTGAGTTCATTGGAGAGTTAGACTCCTGCAGTAAGTTACCTCTGCCAAGCAACTGACTTAGCAACTCCAGAAATGTTGAATAACTCCTTATTTTTGTGGGCTATTACCAAAAACATCCTGGCTCTTCTCCCTAACCTCTACGCAACTTGAAGGGGGTTTTGTGGAACATCATGGACCTGGTATGCCCTTCCCTCTTGGCCCAGGCTTCCCCATGCAGAGGTTGATACTTGTCCTTACAGAGGTTCAGATCTAGCACCTTGCTTGGGGTGCTGTTGTGAAGGAATTAGCATTGGGATTTGCTTCCCCTGTCAGTGAATGGAAGTAGGCTTTGCATTTATAGGCCACTGGTGCATTAGCGAATCTATTTGCTCAATGCTGCTGAGTGAGAAGTTCCTAATTTTAGATTATGGCTGATTCTCTGACAGAGAGTTGCTCATTCATAGTAGTGTGAATGTGTAAATAAATTTAAAAATTTACATTTTTAAAAAAATGTTTTTCATCTTTTAGGAGACACAAGAACAGCTTTTTCATTTAAAAAAGCTATTGAAAACCTGCAGGTTTGGAGAAAGGTATGGATTATACACACAAGCTGATTGATTATAAAGTGCACAAGGGGGCTTAGCTGCCTCTTCTAGAGGTGTTTGTGTACAATTTTTAACAGGCTAATCTGATCATTAGAAAATCTTGTAACAGCTTCCTTCTATTGCACTGCAAATACAAGAGCAGCTGTTATGTGGTAGCTTAATGCTCCTTTTAGCATCTTTAGACACTTGATTGGAAATGCTTGATTCTGAGACATATTTTCTCTAGCTAGTTCTGAGGTTAACTAGTATTTAAAAGGCCAGAGATTTCTAATGTATGTCTGATGATTTATCTTAGTGTTCCATGTGGATTTAAAGGTCCTCCAGGAACCTATCATTTGCTCAATTTGGCTGATTTTATAAGCATATTAAAATGAAAGTAGTATGAAAGTGCAAAATACTAGAGAAAATTAAAAAGTATGAAGCTGACCTGTTTATTGCTTAAACACCAAAATCTTTAATCTTTAATTTTATCTCCCAAAGCCATCAGCATAACTATTGGCTAACTTTCACCACAGAACTGGTGACCATTTTTAAAATAAACAAATCCTGCTCTAAAAGCAGGGCAGATCTTCTCCAACATGGGCCTTTTCATGGAAAGAATCAATTAAGTGTTGACCAAATTTGAAAACATTTATTTTAATGATTCTTTCTTCTTGCCTGCCTATGATTCCATCATAGAAATAAGTATTAAGTTCCTCACTGTAGCTTCCATACTGATTGCAGGTGAAAAATTTTAAGAGTAGTAGCTGTGTTTTCAGTGCTCACCTACTTGGTATGAACACAATTCATCTGTAAGTTTTATCTATGGAAGATACTTTAGCAAAAAATCTGTAGCCCTAGACTATTGCCTTAGAGTATTGTACAATAATTTGCTCCTTTTGGAGTAGGAGAGAACCCTTTACGTCTTACTGGAGAATCGCTGCAATAATTGCCCACGGCAATTCTAGTGTGCATTAAAAATAGACTCTTTATTCAAACCCCTTACTCTCAGTTGCTGCTAATAGCAGCTCAAATTATGAGCAAAAGCAAAGCAGGATTTAGCATCGATGTGCTTTATACTTCCCCTTGGAGAGGCTTATTCTTCAAATATGCTTGAAAGAAATGCATTTTTCTTGTAATTTAATGTGGATTTTTTTTTTGCACAGGGTACTGAAAGAATTTGAAAAGATCCCAAACCATCTGACTGAGGAGCTGCAGCTCTTCTCACTAGATGACCTGGTGAAGATTAAACGAGGGCAGCTATTGCCTCTTCTTAAAGATATTTTGAAGAGCTCCATCTCTCATGTGGATGGTTGTGAGGTAAGGATATGCCAAGTCTCTCTAACAGTGTGGGGAAAAATAACCCTACTGGGATTCTCAAATATATGGATAGATAGACAGACTAAACTAAACCAACTCTCCCTTTGTTCTTGCAGCTCTGTCAAGCAAAAGGGTTTATCTGTGAATTCTGTCAGAGTGCGGATCTAGTCTTCCCTTTTCAGATTGCCAAATGCAAAAGGTGCACAGGTATGTTCCAGCATGAACTTCCCCTCTTCATTGGGGGATGTTGACATGTAAAACTGTTCAGGCCTATTTTTGGAAAACATTGAGAATGCTTCACTGAAAGAACATATATCTCAAATCTGAGATGGCTCTCCTGCATGTCAATTCAGAGAGCAAAAAATACAAATGTGTCTGGCCATAATTATGGCTATGGGTGGAGGCTGCATTTTCAGGTCTGCACTTGAGAGAGAGCTTGGGACAGCATGATGTTGCTGCTATGCCAGGCCTTATCAGCATTCAGTGAAATGCAGCAAGTCTTTCCCAAACTTTCCCCTGGTCTTGTGCTGTTTTTGTTTACTTTTATACTTGCGTGAACTAGATAGGTGTATTCCTTGAAGGATGTTCTAATGATTCTTTTTCCTGAATATGAAACTGTTTGTCTGGATAATCAGAGTGCAAAACGTGCTTTCACAAAGCATGTTTCAAGTCTGGAGGCTGTCCCAAATGTCTGCGGATTGAAGCTCGGAGGAGGCTTTCAGAAGTGCCATCGTTTGTGCCTGTGTGAAACTGGATTCCTCCTGCAGTGACTGTGGATTTTGGAAGATGTTGAAAGCCAAATATTCAGGTGCTTGGGAATTAGATAATGTTGTTTTAGATATTGCAACTTTTAATGAATTCTGTCTTTAAAAAAAAAAAAAAAACCCTTAAGGACTTTAATATTAATCCTTAAACTCTTCCTAAAACAGTTTCACCTTAACTGTGACAGCAAGACTGGATGTTATTTTTGTAAGCAACATTTTGATGCTGCATTTCATCCTGTATGTAATATTTTTAATATTATGTTTTTCAATGTAAAAAATGGTTCTTCTAATGCTGAATATAATATGTAAATAGTAAACAAGTTTTGGAGATCACCTGTGTCAGACTTCAGAAACAGAAAAAAGTGATAAAATTCCCATAACTCTGCAATAGAAGAAGAAAAAGTTGTAAACTTTTCAATTCAATGCTGATCTGAAGTTTTGTTCTGGCAGACTAGTTTTATTCTGGATTGTAGGTTTGTCTTACAGGCTGTGTGTGACAGCTCTACAGAAGTGTCTTTCCAGATGTTTTTCCAGAAGCGAGGAAACGTAGTGAGTGAGAAGTACTCCTGTCTAAATCCATCATAGCTGGAGCTCTGCTCCAGTTCTCAGGCATTGCTTGAAAAGAAGGGTAATGTACAGGAAGCTTGAATGCTGCTTTTATTCTCAGTCCTATTGGCTACCTCTCTACTTGAGAGAGAACCTGGAATAGAGCTGTATTTCTGCCAAGTCAGATTTCTCCATTCATTGGAAATGCTGGAGTCTTTCCAAGCCTTACCTAAGCGGAGGAGCACCTTGTGTCTTCAGAAAATTAGAGCAGTTGCTTGAACACATTTTTTGTGTTTCTGTTAGCAAGGGAAGTCACCCATACTGGATCCAAGAGGTTCACCCCCATGCTAACTCTCACAGCACTAGTAAGATTACTGAATGTTTCACTTAGCTGTGGTGGTGGTGTTTCTTATTCTTTGTGGATGAAAACAGTTTAATACTTCTTGCTCAGAAGCAAAATTATAATCTCTTACTCAACATAACCAAATGGATATTGACGTAGGGTAAGACATGGTGAGAAAAGACCTTCTTATGTGCTAGACTGTATTTAATGTGCAGGAGTAAATTCTCATTCTTGCTCTGGACTAACTGGATCACATGAAAGGCCTTGCTGTGGAGCTTTGCTGCTTATGAGAGTAATCCTTCTGTGGTTTAACCTGCAGGGTAACTTAATGCATCTGCTTCAGTATTCACAAGCTTAATCTGTTTTTTGATGTTGGTTTTCCCAAATATTCAAATCTCATTTAAACTAGTGATGCAGATACAGGTAGTAGGAGGGGGAGGGTCATTTTTATGCATTAACTGCTGATAGTGACATTCCCTTTGTGCAGCCCAGGTTGCCACAGACTGTATCACAGTCTGAATTTGATACTTCCTCCTCACTCAAATACAAGAGAAGACAGGCTGTGCATGAATGAGTAGCTTCAGGAACTTGGACACAAGAGGATTAGCATTGCTGTAGTACAAGTAAAACCTGTTAAAATGTCCTTTCCCAAAGGTAAAGCAAGAAGGGGTGAGTTCTGAGATGTAACTGCTCTGATTACAGGTTAGAAGAGGCTATAAGGAATAGTATGGGCTGCTGTCTGCTGCTGTTCAGTGAGCAGAGCTTTAGGCTCTGAGGAAGATCACATTTAAAGGTTATTTTTGTGCACTGGTGTCAGCACAAGATACCACAGGAACCTGCTGAGAGCATTTGTCCTGAGCCTCCATCTGGTGAGAATTGAGGTGTGAACAGCTAGAGCTGTGTCCACAGGGCAGTCTCAGTGTTGCTGGGCTGAATGGTTCCTTTTATCAGATGTTCTATTCCTGGATAAAGCAACCAGAGCAAAACTGAAAGCAAGGCCTGTGTCTTTGTCTTTGGAGATAACCCAGCTTTGGCAGGAAGGGTTACTTCCACCCAGCAAACCTGCTCCATCCCCTGAGGGGAGTGGCTGTGTTTGAATCAAGTCGTGAGGTTCAGCACTGACCTAAGAAGGTCAATAATGCTCTTGCTGAGCATATCTTTAATGAATGGGTAAGTACTGAGCTTGATGTTTTACAAGGTTAAACCAGATAATCAGATGCCAGGTAACTACTTAAACAAAAGCTCTATGGCTGCAGTAAACTTATTTGTGAGAACTAAAATCTGGCATGTGGAAATCCTGATTAATTCTGTAAGAGAAGAAAAAGAAGGTACAAATCTTTTCTCATCCAGGAGCTGGTGAAGTTCCAAATAAGCTGTTTGGTTGCTGGAAAGCAGGCACTGGAAAAAAGTGGAAAGGATGAAGCCAAGAATGGTGATGGAAGAGGTGATCCTTAAGCAAAGGGAAGAGAGAATTCCCACAGCTTTCTGTGTGTGTGGGCAGCAAGGGCCAGTGCCCAGTGTTAGCAGTGGTTTTCCTTGCTGTCCCAAATGTGATGCACACAGTGGTGGGTGGTGCCTGTGGCTCCTGAACATGCTCTGCAGTAGAGTACACAGGATCTGCCCTTAGGCATGTGGGTGATGGAGGAACCTGTTCCCAATAACTGCCTGCTGTCCTCCATGGGAGGAAGTCAAGTCAAGGTAGTTTTGTTCTTAAGTTTTTAAAAGAGCAGGATACAAACATCTCATCCTTGCTGTTAAGTCTTGCCTGCTTTTCCTCTAGTTTTGTAGTGATTTCTCTCCCTATACACACACTCATTGCAGTTGTTAGTTCTTTGGAGCTAGAAGCGTTTTCTTAAGGCTTTGAACAGTGCTTTGTAGCCTGGACACTCATAATGCATCATACACCTCTTACTGCAAATAATAGAATGGTCCTAATTGCTGGTGTATTGTGACATCACAAATACAGGTCTTGGTGCAATTGTAAGCAAATACATCAAGTAATTAAGCAGCTTTATAGGTCTCTAATTTCAAGGATGCCTGTCACACCCATTGTTTGAGAAGAAAATATTTACATGCATTATTAGTAATCTAATAGCTTTTAGGCCAGCAGTCTGAATACACTGAAAAACATCTTGAGTCTTCTCTTTAAGGTGTCAACTGTAGCTATGTGGCCTAGCGTTTGATGTAATCATTGGTATCTTGTCATCTGGAATATCTGTCCTCCTTCAGGCTTTTGAACAAAGCTAGGAGACTTCGTATGACTGATCACATATTGTACCTATGTCTGACTGAGATAGGTAACAGGCTTCCAAAGATGGCATTAAGGTAATCCCCTCCTTAAAGGAGGGGGGAGAAGAAAAGAGGGAGGAAATAGTATAAACAGGCTTAGGTCTTGCCTATTTATCTATTTCAGTATAGTGGGCAGAGAGCTGAGCAAAACTGGTAGCAGTGCAAGCAACTCTGCACCAAGTAATTCCTCCTTTTGAGAGGAGGATGAGTGTATTTTACATTCAGCTGGATTAAAAATTTAGATTACATCTCGTTCAGTAAATTAAATTTACCCAGGACTGCCCTCTGGTGCTGAGGGCAACTGCTGTAAAATGCCCTAGTTGGAAGTACGCTGTGCCTTTATTCACCTGGACAAGGGGTCCTGTACAACTCTCCTGCTGGAAATGGTGCATGACCCATGCTAACCCTGGAGCTGCATTGTGGGCATAGGCCAGAATGGTGCCAGGCTTATTCTAATAATCTGCCACAGTAGAGGCACTGTGTTGGGATGTCCAGAACCTTTTCTCAATTTGCTGGTTATAGATTCAACCATAACCTGACAGGCTCTTCCCTTCCACTTCAGTGTTCAGGCTCCAGTGTGAGAGGTGCCTCCTTCATGTGACTCTGTAATGGGGAGTATTTTAGATTTGCCTGGTTAGTTACAATACTCTCATCTGTGAGGGTAACTTTATCTGGGGAAACAAAATCCACACCCCCTTTGTGCTGCAAGGGGTCGAGGATGTGGATCTCCTATGCCTCAGCACTGGTCAGAGCAGCTGGTTATGGAAGAGGTAAGAGAAGCTGCTTTTCTTAACTGCTCCCAGGCACTGTGTGACATGAGACCCTCGGGCTATTATCAACGGCAGCTTGACTGATGTTGGAGAACAAAGTCCAGGACTTTGAATTGCATGAATCTGTGAGCAAGACTGGTATTTCACATCAGGAAGTAAGAATTTAATTGAAATCATTTATTTTAGCCATCTTGCCTCTTTTCAAATTAATGTTTTCATTAGAAAAATTATGGGTGTCACTGGTTATGAGTAATCACGTATACCCTTTTTTTTTTGGGGGGGGGGGGAAAAGCTTGCTGCGGGTTTTTT